TCGTCAGATCGGGTAGGACGCATTAAAGACTTTATTTCCCTATTTTCTCCCTGAGTTGTACATTTTCCTTATTTCTTTTTCTCTTGTAAATAAACCTTTTATTAACCCTTTTGTGTGTGTCTGTAGTAGAGTATTCATAAGTCCCTTTAAAGCGCGCGGGTGAGGACCCACAGCCAGGAACCCATTTAATATCGGGGTTACTCTATAACACCAGGAGAAGGGTTTGGGCCAAAGGTGGACAGGAGGGAGCAGGGTGGGACTCAATTACTCAGCAGAAATTGCCTCACTCTAAAGGGATAAAGAAATCTGTTGGAAACATTTAGTGAAATCAAAGCTATCTTTAATCCATCTGTGCAAAGCAGGGACTGAACCCTGCCAACTTTAATGTACCCTAAAGTCGGTCATTAAAGCCAAGCTACACTGCAGGGAAGATAGAGCCTCACTCACCCCTGAGTCTCTAAAGAACGGGGTACCAAACCCAGCCTCTGTCCATCCCACAGTGGAGCCAGTGTCCAGCTCCCACCCAGCCCCTCACCCTGGCCTGAACCTTGTCTGCTGTTAAGGAAGCTTGAGCAGCCCCTAAAAGCCAGGAGGCCTTCCAGGAAGAAGGCGCCTCTGTACATGAGCTTCTCAGCCGGCAGAACCCACATCCACGCAAGAGTCAATCCACACAGTGACAGTGTATTCAGGAATGAATTCACCTTCAGTAACAATCCAACTCCGCCATGTTAGTGGTTTTGCACCAAAATTGATGTTTATTTCTTGTTCTTATCACAGACTAATGTGGGTGTTGCTGGTTCACAGGTAGATTTCCCCATGATGACTGAGGACCCCAGGCTCCTGCTACACTTGAGTTCGTCTTCCCTGGGGACACTACACCTCTGAATGTTGGGCCTTTCAGGTTCATGCCTGTGACTTGCTCAAGATCTCACAGCTAGAGCCAAAACTTTTCTCAGAGGTAACCCAAGGACCCCATCACTGAACCCCAACTTCTCACCTCCTCACAACCCCATCACTCGGTTTACAGTACATGCTCAATTAGGAGGAGTTCATGGAATGAATGAACCCTTTGACCCCATGATTCCAATTCAAATTCTGACACTGGAGCAAACAACCAGGGAAACCTTTTTAATACCCATTTATAGCCAAGGGGGGCTGCAGAGAGAAGTGAATGTGGGGGTTCACAGAGCACCCACAGGACATGAGAGAATGAGTGGGACCTGTGCATACCTGTAGGATTGGGGTGTCATTCACAGCACGGCAGTTGACAGGCAAAAGCAGGTGGAGCTGGTTATGGTGACCGTGTGTGTGTGTGTGTGTGTGTGTGTGTGTGTGTGTGTGTGCATGGAATCATCAGAAACTGACCCCAAAAGTGACCAGAAACTGATCACTTTCGGAGCATGCAGATGGGGATGACCTGTGGAGTCCATGTATTGATGTGTTGTTGGAAGCTTTCCTGCAAAACTGTATTTGTCTATCATTTAGCTTTAAAACTCTGTTTTTATTTGATTTGGATTTTTTAATTTTAATTTTGGGGTTACATTTTGCTCTTCCATATGTGCACATGTTCCACTCACCCTCCACCAAACCACCCGTGCCAATAGTGCTAATACCTCCTGTGCCTCTCTCCCATAGCCCCTCCCCCCTCCACCCTGTTCCCTCTGATCATTAAACATTTGGGGAACCACCTCCCAATCTACATATTGATATAATGCTTGGAGCTCTTCTCAGCATTTAGTTCCATGTCTTCCTCTAAGTAGATAATCAAAACATCTGTGGAGTAAAGAAATGAATGGATAAACCATTGGATGGAAGCAGAAGTGAATGCAAATTTAGGTTTGTGGAGCCTGACCTTAGCCCTAAGCTCCTCTCCCCCTCTCACAAGGGTAGGAAGTAAAGTTTTAGGGAAAAATTTAGGAAAGCTCGAAGCAAACACAACACCTCCTCTTTAAATGGTTGAATGCCTCAGCCCTTGCCCCCCACTGGGCTACTAAGAACCCTTTGTGCTGACCCGATAGCTTTTGCTGCTTGAGGGAATTCTCTTAGGGAGACAGCAAAATGCTAATAAGGTTTCCAGCTTCTATTCTTGTCCCCACTATTGTGTGAGCTGAAATCCACTGATAATCTCCAAAAGTATGGAAACCTCTGGGGACACCTGCAAGCAGGAAAAAGCAAATTAGATTTTAGAAAAGAACTGATATTTTTTATACTAAGAAGTTATAGTTAGGGAAATCTTATCTTATTTGATCTTCACTTTCCCCTCTGTGTGTGTGTGTGTGTTTTTGTTAGGGGGGAAAGGATGTCCCTATAACGTTTTCACCATCAGAGCAAATGCTTCTCCAGCTCGCTTCTGACTTCATGAATACAAGTTTTGCAGGAAGGGAGGGGGCAATCTAATCTCCAGGCATCATCCATTTCAAAAGCATTCTTGAGCCCCAACTAGAAAGTGAATGCTGAAACTGAATTTAAGGAGTCCCAGCCTTATTTAGTTGAAACATGGGATTTTTTATCTTCTTTAAAAACCCTCTTCAAGGTACAGTTCAAATGAACCACTGTCTTGGTGAAATGCGTACATTTATATATTCACTCATTCAGGTCGCGTAGACAGGGGAGAGCTTCATGGGCTATTTCTACAGAGACGTAAAGGATTCAAAATAAGCCATGGGAAACCTAAGAGAACAGTGTACAGGACAGAGGGAACTCCGGGCATCCGCTGCTGTTCTGAGTTGGGCCTATGCTTGGTGTGAGCTGGGAACCGCCGGTGTCATTGTGGCTGGAGTCCAGCGAGCCAAGTTGGGGGTGGCTGGAGAGCAATTGTGGGAGACAGTGAAAGAGAGTACCCTCAGTGAGCAGATTTCTTCCAACATCTCAGAGCACAGCATGCTTTGGGGTATTATTCGGATGTGACTCTACCAGCCAGGCCAAAGTTATGAAACCCAGCAGTGGGCATCCTGGAGGAAGCAAGCAGTGTTGTGAGTGTGGTGTAAGGGCAACTCCTTGGCTAATCACAAGTGCAGTGTCTATGCACCTTTCGGGCTCCTTCTGATCCCAGCTTCATATTTATCATGGATCTTTAACCTGAAGGGTTATAGTAGGACATTCTGGATTTGGTCATAATGGTACGGGAGGAAAAGAAACCTTTTCCTCTACCCTCTTGAGGCCTGCAAATTAAACTGACAAAAGCCTGATTAACAAGAGAAAAAGTTTCATTTCATATGCATATGGAGCCTACAGGAGAAGTAGGTGGCTTGTTAAATGCTGAAATTAAAGACATTTAATCTTGGGGAAACATTTAAAATTTAGGGAAAGGGGCAGTGGGAGAAAAGATAAATGGCTTTTTAGGTGAAGGGATTAGAGATTAGAAAATTTGTGACAATGTTTATTTATATAAGTGTGAGTGATCTTTCTGTCTTCTTAAGGGCCGTAAAGGAGATTTATGGTACCCTCATTTCCCAGAAGTTGCTGCTTCTAGACAGATAAGGGAACCTTTGAAAAGGCCCTTTTTTCTGCTTCTATTGAATCTCAAATGTCTTCAGTTTAAAATTATCCTTATGGGGCCTCCCTGGTGGCGCAGGCTTAAAGACACAGCACTATCAGGGAGCAACCCACATAGTGCAGCAGACCTCTCCTGACTCGCCTGCTGCTCCCCTCAGCAGTGTATTTCAGTCTATCCGCCTGTTCTGTTCCCCACTCTGTCTCTGGTGAATCCTCTCACCCCCAGCATCTCTGGTCTACACCCTAGTTCTTGTGTGCATAAATCAATCTTTAAAAAAAAATAAATAAATTATCCTTATGTCAACTTTGGGGTTCCAAGTGGATCCCCACATTATCTAGATTACCTACCCCCATGTCAGCCCCTATAGTCCCCTGCTGCCTCTCACAGCACCCTCCCAGCTCCCTTATTACTGGCTCCCCATCCAGGAACTCTTTATAAAGAAAGTCTATGCCAGAAACAACACAACGGTGGGGGGGGGGGGGGGGGGGCGGGGCCGCAGAGCCATTTGTGTGTCTGTATGTGGGGGGCTTATGTGGGGTGTATCTAGGAACAAGAACCACAATATCACATGCCCCAGGGGCTAGACCATAACCCTCAAGAGAGAGGGGGTTTACTTCAGGATAAGAGGAACAGCAGTGGGGCTGAAGGATGTTCCCTGACTCTCAGCAGCTGAGGGCAGGGGTGGGGTGAGGGATGAGTGGGAGTGGGGAAGACGGGGGAGTTCATGTCCCAGAAGAACTGGGAAGCATTGTACCTTGGGACACAGAACACCCATGAGCTTAGATATCTTGATTGGAAACAGACTCATAATAAGTCAGAGTGGCCATCCCCCAACTGGTCATACCCTAATTCTGACAGCTCCTAACATCACTCAGACTCCCAAATAGATCAGAGATCTCACACTCTGGAGACACACTCCGAAATAGACCAGGGACCTCATACTCTAGAATAAAGGTTCCCCAAAAACTTTGGGATGGGTGTTTTTTTCTGTTATTACCAAGAAATCACTTACATATATACGTACACCCTGCTATAGATTGAATGTTTGTGTCTCCCCGCCCCAATCCATATGGTAAAGCCTTAACCCCCAAGGGGACGGTATTAGAAGATGGGGTCTTTGGGAAGTGACTAGGGTTAGATGAGATCATGAGAGTGGGGTCTCCGGTAGGAAGAGAATGGAGAACTTGCACTTTCTCTCCATTATGTGAGGACACAGCAAGAAGGCGGCCGCCTGCAAGCCAAGAAAAGAGCCACCATTAGAACCCAACTGTACTGATCTTCCAGCTTCCAGAATTGTGAGAAATGAACTACTGTTGTTTAAGTCCTCTAGTTCATGATACTTTGCTATGGCAGCCCAGGTTGGCTGAGACACTCCTTAAACCTTTACTTTAGAGGCCCTGAGTTTTGTGTCAGAGTCCTTGTACTTGTACTACTTCTGTCACACCCAGCAGATCAGAGCCCATGTCCCTCCCATTCCTGATCCTTGACCTCCAGGCGCTGAGCCAGAGGCTTGTCTGGAGGTGTAGGCCAAGGACACCTAGCCTTCCATGTTACGCCGTCTGCCCTCAGGCTGCCAGCCAGGATGTGGAGCAGGACTTCAGAGAAGCAGGTGAATGAGGTAGTCCCAGGAACGTGGGTCATGGGTGTTGAAACCAAGACTGGGGATACCCCAGTCTGGACCTGTAACCAGATTCCCTTCTCCGCGGGCTCTCCTGGTGTGCTGACTTCCATTTTTCTGCCCTCCACTCTTTCTTCCTCTTTTTAAAGACAAGCAGAGGGCAGCAGAGGGACACAAAAGGCCCTGCTCAAACACTTGGGGGAGGGGAGGAAGGTTGGAGAGAGAGAGAAAATGGACTATATTTCATATGGTGCTTAACACAAGGCTTGGCACACAGTAAGTTTTATATGATTACTATGTCTTGATCATTTTTTATAAACCAGCCTCCCTAACCTTGCCTAAACAACCCTGTGCGATCTGAGCCTTGCCTTCCCTTCCTGCTTATGCTTCACTAACTCTTGGATTCCAAACCACACTGATCTTCCCCTTCCTTAAGAAAGACAGCCCTGCTCATTTTTGAATTTTTAAGGATGAAGCTCCCCATCCAAAAAATGGAATTTGGGGTATGAATCACAGCTGACAGGTTATTGAATAATAATAAGAAGAATTTGAGTTGATTTCCGATAGACTATCAAAATTGGGGGATGCAGTCAAAGCATGCCTAGAGGAAACTTAAAGTTGTAAATGTGTAAATTAAAAAACCTGAAAATCAGTGTCCTGAGCTTCCATATTATGAAACTTCCATATTATGAAAAGGAACAGCAAATTGAACCCTAAGAAGCAGGAGGAAGGAATTTATTTTTTATTTTATTTTTTTTCTTTCTGGCTTATTTCACTGAGCATGAGCAAAGGGAATAAATCTTTTTTTTTTTTAAATGGTCAGTGTTTTTTTTTTTGTTTGTTTTTTTAAAGATTTATTTATTTGTTTATTTATACAAGCACTGGGTACAGTCAGAAGCTCCGGAGGGTGAGAGAATTCACCAGAGCCAGAGCGGGGAGCAGAGCAGGCAGAAGGACTGAAGTACACTGCTGAGGGGAGCAGCGGGAGCAGCGGGCGGCAGGAGAGGTCTATGCGCCATGTGGGACCCTCCTCCGGTGGCCGGGGAGCAGCCAGGGATGGAACCGGTGCTGCAGAGGCAGCGGGCAGCTTCGCAGCCCAGTGCTCAACCTCTGCACCACCGGGGAGGCCCAGGAATTTATAAAGATAACAGCAGAAGCTGGTAAAGGAGAAAGCAAACTCTATGACAGAGAAAATCCACAATGTCCAAAGTTGTCCTTTGAACAGATTAATAAAATATTAGTACTTTCTGTTTTTTCTCAAGAAAATAAGAGAAAGAAATATAAATTACTAATACCAGGATTGAAATGGGGTGCTATTATAGATCCTACAGATATTAAAAGGTGAGTAAGATTTTTTTTAACATACAACTTTCTTTTTTTAAAAAAAGGTATATTTATTTATGCATACAAAAACTGAGGTACAGGCCAGAGGTGTGTGGGGTGAATGAGAGGATTCACTAGAGACAGAGTGGGGAACAGAACAGTCAGACTGACTGAAATACACTGCTGAGTGGAGCAGCGGGCGAGTCAGGAAAGGTCTGCTGCGCCATGTGGGTAGCTCCCTGGCTGGCCGGGGATTGAACTCATGCTGCAGTGGCTGTGGATAGCTTCATAGTGCTGATGCTTACCCCCTTGCACCACCAGGAAGGCCCATACAACTTTATTTCAATGGAGGCCAAATGTCAGTCATTTTCCCATCCTATTGCTACTGTGTCTCTATAGATTCTCTAGATCTATGAAGACAGCAAAACTCAGAAATTTTGCCTATGCTCATGAAAATAAGATATCACTGTATTTTTTTTCTTTTTAAAAAATATTTATTTTATTTATTTATACAAAAACCGGGGTGCAGGCCAGATGCACAGGAGGATGATAGGATTCACCAGAGACAGAGCAGGGAACAGAATAGGCAGACTGACGAAATACACTTCTGAGGGGAGCAGCAGGCGTGACAGGAGAGGTCTGCCGTGCCATGTGGGACACTCTCCAGCTGGCTGGAATCGAACCGGCGCTGCAGAGGCTGTGGACAGCTTCACAGCGCAGCGCTCAACCACCTGCACCACCAGGGGAGGTCCATCACTGTATTTTTTTAAGCCGGAGTTCAGTGAAATCAATTGTATAAAATGTAGTGGTTTCAATGGAATTGAACACAAAGGAGTGGAACAGAATAAAATAGCATAGGGTGGAATTGAATGGATTTATGTAGAGCAGAATTGAATCGAATCAAATAGAATAGAATAGAATAGAATAGAATAGAATAGAATAGAATAGAATAGAATAGAATAGAATAGAATAGAATAGAACAGAATAGAACAAATAAAAATCAGTCTTAATGCCAGACCCTGGACCTAATTGCTGTAATAGATATATATTAATCGAACAAATATTATTGAACATCTGCTAGTCATTCAGGATATTGTGGGGAACAAAACAAAGAGAAATCTCTACTCCAAAGAAGTCAGGGACACAGATATTGGCATGTGCAAAAGGCTCTAAAGCTAAAGGTACAAAGATGGACTTTATGAGGAACAGTCGAAAGGACAATGTGACTTGGAGTGCAAGTGCAATGAATAAGTCTGTAGAGACTGGGAGTCAGGATAGGGAATCTGGAATGCCAACATCATCATTATTATCATAAACTCCTTCATAGCACTTGTTATATGTCAGGCATTGTTCTAAGCCCTGAAAAATACAACTCTTTTATTAAAATGTTAATAATAGTCTTATACTGTGTCATATTCATTTTACAGCAGGAGAAATCAAGACAGATAAATTAAATGTCAGTCTGACTTCAGACTGACTTTGTTTTGATTTTTAAAAAAGATTTATTTATTTATTTATGCATATGAGAACTGGGGTACAGGCCAGAGGTACAGGGGTGAGAGGATTCACCAGAGACAGAGTGGGGAACAGAACAGGCAGATTGACTGAAATACACTGTTGAGGGGAGCAGCGGGGAGCCAGAAGAAGTCTGCTGTGCCACATGGGTAGCTCCCTGGCCCAGGATAGCTTCATAGTGCTGAGACTTAACCACTTGCGCCACCAGGGAGGCCCCTAACTTTGTTTCTCTAACCACTATACTCTGCAAACTCTAGTGCCAGACTACAGGCACCTGATAGTCCTATAGCAGATGTAACATAAATATATAAAGTACTAAAGAACACAAGTCGAGAGAAAGATCTGATGGGAAGTGTGCCAGGGGTGAGAAGTAAGGGAGGGGGACATACCCTCTCATTGGGTGTCAGGCTGGATCGCTAAACACACATGCCCAGAAGCTTTGAGATCCTCCCGTCTTCTCCTATCCTCTGTGATCATAGCTGAAGAGTGGGAGTGGAGGGGACTGGATTAAATTGGCCAATGCAAGGCTGTACTTACAGGGTTGGACCTCCTCCCTGTCTTGTCTTGTCATTTATTATGAAAGAGATGAATCCAGGGCTTCCCTGGTGGTGCAAGGGGTTTAGTCTCAGCACTACAAAGCTATGGACAGCCATTGCCGCACAAGTTCGATCCCTGATCAGGGAGGTGACCCGCATGGCACAGCAGACCTCTCCTGTCTCACCCGCTGCTCCCCTCAGCAGTGTATTTCAGTCTGCCTGTTCTGGTCCCTGCTCTGTCTCTGGTGAATCCTCTCACGTCCCCACTACTCTGACTTACACCCCAGCTCTTGTATGCATGAACAAATAAAATAAATATTTTTTTTTTTTTAAAGAAAGAGATGAATCCAGCTTGGAGAAAATAAGAACTCCTTGTGGAAGGAGAAAGGGTAGGTCTTGGTCTCCACTCCCCTTATCTTTACTTCCATCCCTCTGGAAAGAGAAAGAGAACAAGTAAACAGTGTCATAGCAGACACATGGACTTTTGTGAATCCACACATGGACCATAAGATGCCAGTGAAGTTTCTTTCCAGGAAATGAGAGTAAGGAATAAGCTTAGTCATTGGGAAGGTGACAAAGGTGACAAGGAAACTTGCACATGAAACACGTGTAGTCTCTTCTGATCTTTTTCTTTTCTTTTATTTTTTAGTTACGGGGGGACAGCAGTCAGACCCCTACCCCATGTCTCATCCGTAGACTTGACCACATTGTGATGACAGTAAAGAGCATCAAAGACACAACCATGTTTTATTCCAAGATCCTGGGTATGGAGGTCATAACTTTCAAGGTAATCACTTCCCCAAATCCCAAACTGCAGGTGAAGTAAAACTAGAGTATAATAACCTAGCTCCAAACAAATACCAACAACAACAAAATAAAAACCTAATGAGAGAATTTTAAAAGATCAATGGAGGAGATTCCAAACTCTGATCTGAGAGTGGAACTTCCAGAAAGGGGATGGAGGAAAAGGCAGGAAGGAAATTACCATATAAGTAATGGAAGAGAACTTTCCAATCTTCACATTGGAAAGGTTAACTGAGTATTCAGCACATGACACATATATGTTTTGATGAAATTATAGAACCTCAAAGTGAAAATGAGGCTCTTCAGTGCTTTCAGAGAGGTTAAAAAGTAGTTCGACAAAGGGAAAAGAAATACACAGATACCAGATTTCCCAAGAGTCACATCAGAGACCAGATGACAATAAAGGAAGTTGGAAGTATGCTACATCAAAATGAGTGATTAAGCCAAGAATAAGGACGACATCAAGGTCAGGACACACAGGTTCTCAAGAAAATTCCAGCAAGAGACCTAGAGAATGATCAAGCCAGTTCAGAACAGGCGAAAGAAAGGCACCAAGAGAGATCTAAGGAAAAGAGAAGGGTTCCAGAGATCAAATATCATCCTTGAGAATTCAAGACAACTGAAAAAGTGGGAACTGCAAAGACATATAATATGTCTTAAATTGAAAGATCCCGTGGAATTGTAAAAAAAAGGGTAAAAATTGTAAAAAATACATGGAACACTAGGCACAAAAATAGAATTATGGAAAATCAGACTGGTACATACACAGCAAATGGACGGGTGTTTAAAAGATCATGCTGAGTGAAAAATGAAGAAACAGAATCAGGTCTTCAGCCTGGTACCATTTATAACATACACACATAAGACTATAATACATGTTTTACAATAATTCACAAAAGCCAAAGGACACACATAAAACACATTATAATGATCACCTGCAGTGGAGACAGGGATGGAGAATGGTGATAGAAAAAATAAATGCACAAATAAAACTAGAGAGGGCCTTTGCATGGGGCAACGATGGTAATGAGGCATATAATAAATGAACTCCCCGTACTTGGACACAGTGAAATAAAATTTCAGTACATCTTGTATAAAGAAAAGCCCTAAAGGCAGAAGGAGTAGAGGATAGCTGTGTCATAGTAAAAGAATGAAAATCAGATTAATATCAGGACTCTTTTTTTAAAAAAAATATTTTATTTATTCATGCATACAAGAGCTGGGGTGCAGGCCAGAGGTGTGGGGGGAGATGAGAGGATTCACCAGAGACAGAGTGGGGAGCAGAGCAGGCAAACTGACTGAAATACACTGCTGAGGGCAGCAGCGGGCGAGACAGGAGAGGTCTGTTGTGCCATGTGGGTCAGCTCCGGGGCCTGGGATTGAACTTGTGCTGCAGTGACTGCTGATAGCTTCAGAGTGCTGAGATCCAACCCCTTGTGCCACACCAGGAATCCCCAATATCATTATTCTTATCAATAACACCAGATTCAGGAAGACAATGAATTAACTTGCTTAAATGACTTTGGGAACATCACCTGCAACCTTAAATTCTTTTTTTTAATTTTATTTATTTTCATGTAGGAGAACTGGGGTGTAGGCCAGAGGTGTGGGGGATGAGAGGATTCACCAGAGACAGAGTGGGGAACTCAACAGGCAGATTTACTGAAATGCAATGCTAAGAGGAGCAGCGGGAGAAACAGGAGAGGTTTTTTTTTTTGTTTTGTTTTGTTTGTTTGTTTTGGAGATTTATTAATTTTTATTCAGTACTTTGAAAATATTTTTATTCAGTACTTTGAAAATTGTTGGCATTTGTCTTTTTGGTTTTTTTAATTTTCTTTTTATATTCCCCATACAATTGCAACCCCCTTATTTTGACCCCAATCCCTCCTTTCCCAGCCCCCCCACCCCCATAGTGTGTCTCTGGTTCATAGTTGTTTGTTGCTTTTGATTTTTTCTTTCTTATAGTTATTCTTTTTCCTGGTCCCTTATTTAGGTTTTCTAGATTCCTGCTATGAGTGAGACCATCCAGTATTTTTCTTTTTCTTTCAGGCTTATTTTGCTGAGCATGATCCCTTCCAGCGCCATCCATGTTGCTGCAAATTGCATGTGTTTATCTTTTTTGAATGCTGAGTAATATTCCATGGTGGTGTATATGTACCACATCTTCTTGATCCAGTCATCTATTTTTGGGCATTTGGGTTTTCCAAAGCTTAGCTATTGTAAATAGTGCTGCTATAAACATAGGGGTGCAGGTGCTCTTTGGAATTAATGTTTCTGTGTCCTTTGGGTAAATACCTAGGAGTGGAATTGCTGGATCATATGGGACCTCTACCTTTAGTAGTTTGAGGAATCTCCACACAGCTCTCCATAGTGATTGGACCAGTTTGCACTCCCACCAGCAGTAGAGTTCCTTTTTCTCCACATCCTCGCCAGCATTTGTTGTTGCTAGTTTTTTTAATATGTGCCATTCTCACTGGTGTGAGATGGTATCTCATGGTAGTTTTGATTTGCATTTCCCTGATTGCAAGTGATGTTGAACATTTTTTCATATGCCTGTTGGCCATTTGTATTTTCTCTTCAGAGAAGTTTCTTTTTATCATTAGTGTTGGGTGCAAAAATTTTCTCCCAGTCGGTGGGGTTTCTCTTTGTTTTGATTATTGTCTCTTTTGCTGTGCAGAAGCTCTTTAATTTAATGTAGTCCCAGCTGTTTATCTTTGCCTTCACTCTCAATGCTTTGGGTGATGTGTCTGTAAAGATGTCTTTGAGGTGCTTGTCATGTAGTGTTTCACCTATATTTCCTTCTATATAATTTATGGTTTCAGGTCTTATATCTAGTTCTTTAATCCGTTTGGAGTTGGTTTTTGTGTATGGTGTTAGGTAGTAGTCAAGTTTCATTCTTTTGCATGTAGCGACCCAGTTTTCCCAGCACCATTTATTGAACAAGCTTTCTTTGCTTCAGTGCATATTCTTTGCTCCTTTGTCAAAGATTAGTTGACCATAAATCTGTGGGTTTATTTCTGGGTTTTCTATTTGGTTCCATTGGTCTGTGTGTCTGTCCTGGTTCCAATACCATGCATTTTTGATGATTATGGCTTTGTAGTATAGTTTGAAATAGTTTGAAATCTGGGAGAGTGACAGGAGCAGTTTTGCTGCGCATATGTGGGTTAGCTCTCTGACTGGGATTGAACTCAGACCTTAGATGTTACAGAGCTGAGACTTAACCCCTAGGCCACGTGGTAGGCCCCTGCAAACTTGAATTCTATACTCAGCTGAACTATCATTCAAGTGGCATAAAGTCGTCTTCTGATAAAATGGATTGGTATCAATCAGGTGATATAAAGGATAGAAATATAAAAATTATTAAGGAATGGGCAGAATAAAAGTACAAGGGAGGGAAGCTATGGGAAAAGAGGGATGGTAGCGCCAATGAAATACTAACTGTAGTTGATCTATCAAAACATAAAGGTACAAGTGGGTTATTTAAATATTGTAAAGGAACCAAAAGAGGTACTAAAAATTTTGATGGAATTCTTTTGGGAGAGGTAGTAATGTAGATTTCTTTTATCATAGCAAGAAGGTGATAGAAAATGTTTAAAGTTGCTAAATGAAGACAAAGACAAACTTTAAAACCAATCCCTGAATGCTGATAAAAGATCTGAGTCATCCAACAGCAACAACAAAGAAAATAATCCAGTCAAAAAATGGGCAGAAGAGCTAAAAAGAAACTTCTCTGAAGAGGAAATGCAAATGGCCAACAGACATATGAAAAAATGTTCAACATCACTTGTAATCAGGGAAATGCAAATCAAAACTACCATGAGATACCATCTCACACCAGTGAGAATGGCACATATTAAAAAAATAGCAACAACAAATGTTGGCGAGGGTGTGGAGAAAAAGGAACTCTTCTGCACTGTTGGTGGGAGTGCAAACTGGTCCAACCACTATGGAGAGCTGTGTGGAGATTTCTGGACCTACTAAACATAGAGCTTCCATAGGATCCAGCAATTCCACTCCTAGGTATTTACCCAAAGGATACAGAAACATCCATTCCAAAGAACACCTGCACCCCTATGTTTATAGCAGCACTATTTACAATAGCTAAGCTTTGGAAACAGCCCAAATGCCCAAAATAGATGACTGGATCAAGAAGATGTGGTACATATATACCATGGAATATTACTCAGCATTCAAAAAAGATAAACACATGCAATTTGCAGCAACATGGATGGCGCTGGAAGGGATCATGCTCAGCGAAATAAGCCAGAAAGAAAAAGAAAAATACCGGATGGTCTCACTCATAGCAGGAATCTAGAAAACTTAAATAAGGGACCAGGAAAATGAATATAAGAAAGTGAAAATCAAAATCAACAAAAAACTATGAACCAGAGACACTTTTTGGGGGGTGGGGGGCGGGAGGGGAAGGATTGGGGTCAGAATGGGGCGTTTGCAATTGTATGGGGGAATATAAAAATAAAATTTATTATTTAAAAAAAAAAAAAAAGATCTGAGTCATCCAGGAGGAGAGGAGGGATGAGAATGTAGGAGCAGGGAGAGCACAATGGACTATGATGGAGGATTATGGGTGGCTTGGTGGTGGGAGAGCTACCAGTGACCACACTTAAATGGAGAAATCTTATACTGTCACAGAATGAACAAGGATGTAAAACAATGGCCCTTCATTATTATTTTTTGTTTGTTTTTAAGATTTATTATTTATGCATACAAGAACTGGGGTACAGGCTAGAGGTGGGGGGGGGTGAGAGGATTCACCAGAGACAGAGTGGGGAACAGAACAGGCAGATTGACTGAAATACACTGCTGAGGGGAGCAGCGGGTGAGACAGGAGAGGTCTGCTGTGCCATGTGGGTAGCTCCCTGACTGGGGATCATACTCGTGCTGCAGAGGCTGTAGATAGCTTCATAGTGCTGTGCTTAACCCCTTGTGCCACCAGGGAGGCCCCCCAATCTTATTTTTCACCTTATTGGGGTAGCTGGCGGTAGTGGGGAGGAACTTTGTCTCACATTCATCCTGGAGGTTTCATTCTAGGTGCTTTTCTCTCCCCAAATAGGGAGACCGGAAAGCATTATGTTTTGGAGACCAGAAATTTAACCTCCACGAGGTGGGAAAGGAATTTGAGCCCAAAGCTGCTCACCCAATTCCTGGCTCTCTGGACATCTGTCTGATCACAGAGGTGCCCCTGGAGGAAATGGTCCAGCGCCTCAAGGTGAGTTGGATTTCCTTTTTTTTTTTTTTAAAGATTTATTATGTATTTATACAAGAACGGGTATAGTCAGAGGCGCGGGAGGGTGAGAGAATTCACTACAGATAGAGCAGGGAGCAGAACAGGCAGATGGACTGAAGACACTGCTGAAGGGAGCAGCAGGCGAGACAGGAGAGGTCTGCCGCACCATGTGGGTTCTCCCTGGCTGCCTGGGAATCAAACCCGCGCTGCAGAGGCTGCGGACAACTTCACAGCACAGTGCTCAACTGGGAAGGCCCTCCATTCTTCTTTAAGATATATTTTTATTTATTTATGCATACAAGAACTGGGGTGTGGGCCAGGAGTTCAGGGGTAGGGGTGTGTGAGGATTCACCAGAGAAAGTGGGGAGTAGAACAGGCAGATCTACTGAAATACACTGCCGAGGGGAGCAGGATAAGACAGGAGAGGTCTGCTGCGCCATGTGGGTCACCTCCCTGGCCGGGGATCCAACTCATGCTGCAGTGGCTGTAGATGACTTGATAGCGCTGAGACTTAACCCCTGTGCCACAAGGGAGGCCCCCCTGTCATTTAATTTTGATGGTGCTATAACATTTAAAGTGACTTCATGTCAAGGCGGTATCATGAAAAGTCTAAGACTAAGGTCTTGAATATATTTCCAGCAGGTAAAGAATAGAGGTCAAGAATATGGGTTGGCCCACACTGACTAAACTTGAATTCTGGCTCTGCCACTTAGTTGATAATGCTAGGTACCATTATCATTCCCATTTTACATATGAGGAAACTGAGCGATAGGGCAGTGAGTTGCTCAGTCCAAGGCCATACAGCTGTTACGGGTGTGGAGAAGAGTGACGGAGGGAGAATGGAAGATATGGTCAGAGACATGGTCATCTTCCAGCTCACTTTAAGGGAATTAAATTTTGCTGTCACACATGGACCGGTATGAATGACTTTTTTCTTCTCCTCCCACTCCAGGATTGTGACATCCCCATTGAGGAGGGTCCAGTCCCCAGAACGGGGGCAAAAGGGCCCATTATGTCCATCTATTTCCGAGACCCCGACAGAAACCTGATTGAGGTATCCAACTATATTTCCTCCTGATTGAGGCTGGCCCTTCTCTATTCTGCTCCCTGTCACCCTCTACCTTTCTCTCTGCAAACCCTCATCCAGGTCTTAGACTCCGAGCACTGCGATCTTAGGCACTTCACACATCCTGTTGGGGGGGCCTGAGTTGGGTGTAGTGTTCCATATGACTGAGTGTTCTCCATCCAAGCTGCCCCAATAAACACTTACATCTCAGTTACTATGAGCTCTTCATTATTATTGCCTTGGAATTATGTATGGGTTTGCCTGAGGCATGGGGTCTCTGAGCTGTTTGGGGGGTCAGTGATCAAAATATGACATTTCTAAGGCTTAACTCCTCCAGGGTCATTTTCTTGGGATTCAAAGCCCCTGACAGATTTTTCCCTTGTCAGTGAGCCTGTCCTTATTCTTTTATTTTCTTTTTCTTATTTACTTATGCATACAAGATCTGGGGTATAGGCCAGAGGTGCAGGAGGGTGAGAGGATTCACCAGAGACAGAGTGGGGAGCAGAACAGGCAGATCTACTGAAATACACTGCTGAGGGCCTCCCCTGGTGGCGCAGCAGTTGAGCGCTGGGCTGCAAAGCTGCCCACAGCCTCTGCAGTGCCGGTTCGAACCCCGGCGGACAGTGAGGTTCCCACATGGCGCGCAGACCTCTCCTGCTACGCCCGCTGCTCCCCTCAGCAGTGTATTTCGTCAGACTGTCTGTTCTGTTCCCCACTCTGGCTCTGGTGAATTCTCTCACCCTCCCGTGCTTCTGACTGTACTCAGTGCTTGTATAAATAAATAAATAAATCTTTAAAAAAAAAAAAAGGAAATACACTGCTGAGGGGAGCAGACAGGAGAGGTCTGCTGCGCCATGTGGGTTACCTTTGTGGCTGGGGATCGAACTTGTGCTGCAGTGGCTGCAGATAGCTTCATAGTGTGAGACTTAACCCCTTGTGCCACCCAGGAGGCCCCTTTATCATCCTTTTAGAACTTGCTTCACTCCTTCCAGGTACAGCCTGCTGTATCCTGTACACCATAGGCCTCACTGGGCCTAAAGATCTCCCTGATTCCCATGGAAGCTTCAAGGAGATCTTTGCTAACACTACCTCCCCCTGGAGCACCTTATCTAGTCGCACCCCCCAGGGTATGTGGCATTTCAATCTTTTTTTTTAAAGATTTATTTATTTATGCATACAAGACAAGAGAGGTCTGCTGTGCCATGTGGGTCAGCTCCCTGGCAGGGGATTGAACTCGTGCTGCAGTGGCTGTGGATAGCTTCATAGTGCTGTGTCTTAACCCCTTGCGCCACCATGGAGACGTGGCACTTTCAATCTTTGCATTTGGTAGGTTGTCTTACACTCCTGGCAGAGTAGACAGGGCAAAGACCAATTTCCTTTGTTTCTATCCTCCTACCATCACCACACCATTTACTCAGTCAACTAATAAACATATATTGCGCACCTATTGTGTGTTTGGCCCTGTTCTGGGCAGTGGAGAGACAGTGTTGAAGAGATCAGCATACCTATGTTTGCGAAACGTCCATTCTTGTGGGAGCAATAGAAAATAAAATTAAGTAAGGAACATATGAAATATGTTAGATGATGATAAATGTTTTGGAGAAATAGAAAACATGGAAAAGAGGGAACACAGATAAAAATCACTGCAGTAGTTTCCAGTGTATAGTGGGACACTCAGGGGGGTCTCACTGAAGACACTGAGCACAGACTTGAGACTTACACCAGTAGCTGGTGGCATATGCCCAGCAGAGATAACAGCTATTGCAACAGTCCTGAAGCTCCAGGGCCTCCCTGGTGGCACAAGGGGTTAAGCACAGCACTATGAAGCTATCTGCAGCCTCTGCAGCAGGAGTTCGAACACCAGCCTGGCAGCCAGGGAGCTGCCCACATGGCACAGCAGACCTCTCCTGTTTCTCCCGCTGCTCCCCTCAGCAGTGTATTTCAGTAGATCCGCTTGTTCTGCTCCCCACTCTGTCTCTGGTGATTCCTCCCACCACCATCCCCACACCTCTGGCCTATACCCCAGTTCTTGTATGCATAAATACATAAATCTTAAAAAAAAAAGTTCTGAAGCACCAGTGTGGCTGGTATTTGCAAGGAAGAGTGAGGAGATCAGTGGCTGGAGCAGTGAGCGAGGGGGAGCAGCAGGAGTGAGGTGGCAGAGGTGGCAGAGACAGAATGTGGAGGGCCTCGTGGGCAGTGGGGAGGTCTCCTGCTTTTACCCTGAGTGTCAGGGAAGTGACCAGAGGGAGGGTCATGAGCAGAGGAGAGCTTTGAACTGACTTAGGATTTAATGGTCTCCCTCCAGCTGCTGTGAGGGGAATAAACTGAGGTGAGTGCAGTAGTGGGGTACAATGAGCTGGAGGCTACTGCAGTGGTCCTGGTGAGCAGGTGCTGTGCTCGCAGGGCAGGGGGTAAAAAGTGGTTTGATTCTGCAGATATTTTGAAGATAGAGACTGCATGAGTTCACCAAGAAAGAAAATGTCAGGCCTCCCTAGTGGCACAAGGGATTAAGACGCAACCTATGAAGCTGTCCGCAGCCACTGCAGCATGAGTTCAATCCCTGACCAGGGAGCTACCCACATGGCACAGCAGACCTCTCCTGACTCGCCTGCTGCTCCCCTCATCGGTGTATTTCAGTAGATCAACCTGTTCTGTTTCCCACTCTGTCTCTGGTGAATCCTCTCACCCTGTCACCCCAGAGGTACACACCTCTGGCCTGTATCCCAGTTCTTATATGCATAATAAAGTAAATCTTAAAAAAAAAAGAAAGAAGAAAATGTGAACTGGAGAAGAGGCCCATGGACAGTTAGAGTTCTGGTGCAGAGGAGGAACCAGCAACTGAGTCAGTCAAAGAAGAAAGGAAGAGTATGGCTTCCTGAGTGAATGAGTGATGGATGAAAGAGCATGTGTGAGAGGCTCTTGAGGTAAGGGAACCCCTAGTCTTGTGGGCTGTGGTCTTTAAACAGTTCCCAGATAGTAATTCAGCCAGGCCCTATGAATGAACCCCCAGGGAGCCCCAGAATGCTGGAAAGAGAAGTATGAGAATGTGAGTTTCAGCATGTGAAACACTTTACCAAAAACCATAGCAGGTTTATTACCTGTTTTTAAAAGACAGGTTGCTTTGGACCCAGATATTATATTCCAGGAGACAGACGTTTGTGGAAAGAAGGAAGGAAGGGAGGGAAGGAGGGAGGGAGGGTAGCAGATGGGTTGATGAATGAATGGGTGGGGGTGTGTGTAGATGGGCAGTGGGGCTGATAACCCTGTCTCTGGAGAAACTCTCTCACATGTGTGTGCACAGAAAGAAAAATATAGGTTTGTAAATTGCAGTCTTGCTACAATAGGGGGAAAAAATTGAAAACAACTAAAATGTCAATCAACAGATGAATGGTTAGCCTATGCTATGTCCATTCCATGAAATGTTGCTCAGCAAGAGAACAGAACAAATTTATGAGGCTAGCATTAACTGGATACCAAAACTAAAGACATAGCAAGATAAGAAAGCTACAGGCCAATATCTCTTAGTGATGCAAAAATCTTCAACAAAATACTACTTAACAGAATTCAACAACATATAAAAGGATTATTCAACCATGACTATAATTGATCCCAAGAATGCAAGATTGGTTCAACATGCAAAAATCATTCAATGTAGTACATTATATTAATAAAAAAGGACAAAAACACATGATCTTTTTAATAGATGCAAGAAAAATATTTGAGAAGATTCAACATCCGTTAGTGAGTAAGAAAAAAAAAAGACCTATGGGCCTCCCCGGTGGCGCAGCGGTTGAGCGCTGGGTTGCAAAGCTGCCTGCAGCCTCTGCAGCGCTGGTTCAATCCCCGGCTGCTCCCGGCCACCAGAGGAGGGTCCCACATGGCGCGCAGACCTCTCCTGCCGCCCGCTGCTCCCCTCAGCAGTGTACTTCGGTCCTTCTGCCTGCTCTGCTCCCCGCTCTGGCTCTGGTGAATTCTCTCACCCTCCCGCGCTTCTGACTGTACCCAGTGCTTGTATAAATAAATAAATAAATCTTAAAAAAAAAGGAAAAGAAAAGAAAAACACCTAAACAAATGAGAAATGGAAGAGAATTACTTTTTTAAAATTTTTTTATCTTTTACTTTTTAATTTTTTTTATTTTTTACATTATTGTTCATTTTTAAACAATATTTGCTTCCCCCCACCCCTTCAAGCATAGTCCACATAGAGTTTCCTTCCCCGATGCACCCGTGCACTATCACCTCAGTCTCCTGTGCTCCTTCCTCCCTCCCTCTGATCCCTCTCCCTCCTCCTCCCCTGCAGGATGTCTCTGATTTATAATTGTTCGTTTTTGCTTTGTTGTGTTTTGTACTGTTATTATTTTTTTTTTAACACTGATGTCTTATTGGGTTCCCCTATATTCCTGCTATAAGTGAAACCGTCCAACATTTTTCTTTTTCCTTCTGGCTTATTTCACTGAGCATAATTCCTTCTAGTTCCATCCACGTTGTTGCGAATGGCATGAGTTTATCTTTTTTGTTTGCTGAGTAATATTCCATTGTGTATTTGTACCACATCTTCTTGATCCAGTCATCTATTTTTGGGTATTTGGGTTGTTTCCAGGATTTGCCTATTGTAAATAGTGCTGCAATAAACATAGGTATACTGGTCTTCTTTTGAATCAATGTTTTTGTGTCCTTTGGGTAGATCCCTAGTCGTGGAATTGCTGGGTCATATGGTAGCTCCATTTTTAGCAGGTTGAAGGACCTCTACACAGCTTTCCATAGTAGTTGGACCAGCTTGCACTCCCATCAGCAGCGCAGGAGAGTTCCTTTTTCACCACATCCTCGCCAACATTTGTTATTGTTTGTTTTTTTGATATGTGCCATTCTTACTGGTGTAAGGTGGTATCTCAATGTGGTTTTAATTTGCATTTCCCTGATTATCAGGTATGTTGAACATTTTTCATATGCCTGCTGGCCATTTGCATTGGAAGAGAATTTCTTTAACCTGATAAAGAGCATCTATAAGAAACTTATAGTGGGCCTCCCTAGTGGCACAAGGGGTTAAGACACAGCACTATGAAGCTGTCCTCTACAGCCTCTACAGCCTCTACAACAGGAGTTCGGCCCTGCCGGGGAGGTGACCCACATGGTGCAGCAGACCTCTCCTGACTCTCCTCAGCAGTGCATTTCACTCAATCCACCTGTTCTGTTCCCCACTCT